AGAGGCACACCCATGGGATCACCACTGTCAGGACTCATAGCAGAGATTGTAACGCAATGCCTAGAAACTATAGTTTTGCGAGAAAACAGCCAAGCTCAGAGAACCCCAAGGACCACAGTTCAACCTTGAGCTACACATATTCGCTTCTATTGGAATGAGCAAGGCATATTGCGTACAGTGCCAGAATCTAGCAAATTGCTTAAAGCTCCAGAATCTATCAGGAGTTGAAGGTTTATTAAAAAAAACAGTGTAAAGAGCATTAGACAGGATCAAGTACTGACACTGAGCAACATTTAATTGTTGGATGCATCATCAAACTTCTGAAAAGGGGAGTGGGTGTCTTAATCATTACTTAACAAGCCAGAATTGGAGTGTTGAGGGCATTTGCTTACAAACTGCCCCCTTATTCCATATGTGTGGCACTTAGTGGGTGCCTCGGAGCAGAAAGGTTTAACAGCATATTTTTCTGCAAAGTGCCTCTTCATCATTCACGTTACTTAAAACAACAACCCTTTTCTTTAGTTCATGTTCATTCAGGATGTTACACATTCTTCCCCAGAACTCACTCCTGGTTCTGTCATTTTCACCATTCACTGGAGAACTAACATGCAACTACTACGAACTATACATTCTATTTCGTACATATCCACAACAATCTAGAGCACACTAATGAATATTTTCTAACTATATTTTAGCCCTTTTGTTCATAATTAAGTCCATGACTTCATTGTGTTCATCAGATCCATTCCATAAGAGTAGACTGTCTTTTATTCAGGTCTGTTACATCCTTTCACTTTTTCTTTTTCTCACAATCAGAAATCTTTTTTTTCCCATTTAATTTCTTCATTCAGGCTTTTTACCATTTATTGAGTAAAGAGCATGAGAAGTAGTGTGGAAGAGTGGCTAAAATGTTGGACTAAGACTGAGCAAATCCAGAATCAAGTATATACTCAGCCACACAAACTCACTAGGTGTCTTTGGACCAATCACTGCCTCTCAGCCCAACCTTCCTCACAGGGCTGCTGTTATGGCAGGGTTCCTCAACCTTGGCAACTTTAAGATGGGGGGAACTTCAACTCCCAGAATTCCCCAGACAGCAAGGCTGTCTGGGCAATTCTGGGAGTTGAAGTCCCCCCGTCTTAAAGTTGCCAAGGTTGAGGAACCCTGTGCTATGGTATAAGATAAATGGAAATCCCCCTGTAAACCACCTTGAGCTTCAGAAAAAAGCCAAGATATAAATCTAACAAATAAACAGATCTGACTAACAAATTTGTTCCTCTTATAGTCCAAGTCATAATTTTTTATGCGTCTCTTCTGTCAACATATTATTTCTGAAAATAATAAAATAATTTATAAATAGAT